GCTGGCTCACCCAGGTGAGGTGGGATTCCTGACAGTGGTGGGAGCAGCCAGAGCCGAGAAAATCTCTCCCTGTGGTACTCACAGATGTTGTGCCAGCTGGGCTGTTGCCTCAGAGCAGGCGCTGGCTCCCAGAGCGCAGCCCTCACAAGCGTGCGTGGCTTGGGGTGGGTGTGTTGTGAGCCCTTGTGCTAGTAGTCTGGCAGCAATAGGATTTTGCCTAAATGCTTAGGAGGAAAGATTAAAAACTTAGAAAATCATAGGATAAAATAAATTCATGGGATCTCGAATTTGTGACAAACTGTAATTTATTTTTTTCTTCACGTAATTCATTGATCATCAGTCTTGAAGAACATGAGTATATTCAATTTATTATAAGAAAAGTTAGTAATCCTTGTCCCCAGGGAGTGAGATCATCAGATGAAGGTTCACTTCGTTTCAATGTCCTACATCCTCTTGTTAGACCTTGAAGTTGGCAACGCAAGAAAACAGGAACTCCACCCTGGCTGCCTGAATTGTCGTGCTCTACAGCTAGCTCCTGACCATCTGCCTTTGCTTCCTGTTATGACAGAGTTTTTGAACTTTCTGAGGTGTATGAAAAGTCATTATTTTACCCTTCACTGCTAAGTAGGTGGTGTGAAAGTGTCGGCTTAAAACATGCTGCACATTCCTGTATGTAAAGCCTTTCTGATTGAGTAACATTTACTTTGTTTATTGGGTTGATTTGAGGGGTTTTATACATATTTTTGCAGGTTTATTAGTTTCTCTGGATCAGCCAACCCTTAGCATCCAAAAAGATGTCCTCACAATAACTGCGAATAACACTCTAAATATTACTTGCAGGTAAGGGCACATCTGTCCAGCATGATTTTGGTGGGGGTAATGCATGCAGTGAGTTTTTTGTACAGAATCGCAGGAGATTCAGGCTCTTTTCTGTCATTGCTCCTGTTTCTCCCCAATCTCTTTGTGCCCCCCACCTCACTTCTCCCTGATGGGCTTTAAAAGCTATCTTAGAGGGGTTCAGCGAGGAAGAGCTGTGGAGTGCAGGGTGGCTGGGAAGGGGAAGCGTCACCTGGGTCCTCATGGAGCCTACTGGTGGGCTGTGCTCTTGACAGTCTCTTTCAGGTTCTGTGTCACTTAACAGCTTCCTTATAAGTACTAACTATTAGTAAATTTAGGTGAGTTCTTCCTACATGGTGTGATGCTCGGTGTGACAGGATGATGTGTGTTCCTTTCAAAAGCTGTAGAGGGTCTGAGGGTCACCACCTTGGCATTGGTATGGACACTTGTCACATGCTCACACTCACATTTGCTTTCCCAGCGGTCAGGGACCACTGGAGTGGTCCTGGCCAAGCAACCAGAGCAGTGTTGAGAAGCGTATCTCTGTGACAGACTGCAGCGATGGGCCCTACTGCAAGAGACTTACTCTCCTCAAAGTCATTGGCAATGACACAGGGGACTACAGGTGCCTTTACAGGGACAAGCAGGCAGCTACTACCATTTATGTCTATGTTCAAGGTAAGCACTTACACAGCTCCTAGGTGGCTCTTCCCCTAGCCTCTAGAGACAAAAGGGACATGAAATATTTCAAAATGGTTTTGACAGTAAAATTTATTAGCCCTAGAGTTTTTGGTTCTGTGAAACTGTTAATTTTCTTGTTTTCATCTTGAGTGATTTCATGCCAATATGCTAGTTGCCATCATTAGGGAAGCCTTTGCACCTGTAATTTTGCACTGACCTGCTGCATGCAGTAATTGGTCTCTTCTCCTCCACCCAGAACTTGATGTACGTGTCTCTGCTGTGCTCTGAGCCTGTCCTCACGAATGCAGAGCTATTACTGATCTCAGCAGGAGTTTTGTACAAGGGAGGATTACAGAGATTGGATATTTATTAAAAATGGAAGATCTGATCCCGTGTACAGTTTGTACTATCTGATAACATTAAAAAAAACCCCAAAACTCAACCCCAAAACATAAACTTCCATACATTTGCCAACGGTGATGGCAAAACTCAGGCTGTTGGTTGTGTTGGCAGCAACGCAGCTGAGTGTCATGGACACTGCAAAGCCTCCAGTTACATGCCCAGCATAAGCAAGCACATTCATTGAGGCATCTGCTCTTTTGCACTGATGCCTTCATACTAATTTTGTTATGCACCTTCTTTCCTTTTTATTGTCAATTTATAGTTATCACTTTGAAAAAATAAGATATTATTAGGTACATGGGTTAGCTTGTTTTATAAGGTCATGAACTTATTTTTTTTGTCTCACTTTGAAAAGGATGCTGCCATTGGAAGCGCCAATGTAGCATGTCGCTACTTTTGACTGATATTTCCTGTAATACTTATGCAAGGAAAGTCACACTAGGGTAAATCAGATTTTTGTCGGCACAAAGACTGCCATGGGAGGAAGCTATTCTCCAAAGTGCACACTACTGCTGATAACTGTTTTGAGAATAATGGTATTGTAAAGCTGGGTTGGGGTCTGTCAAAATATCTACCCTCTATTTAGTCTCATCGTTTCAATGTTTTACCACATAAGAAAGAATAAAACTGATTTGAGAAGAAACAGGGAAAGAACAAAATTGGAAATGTTTCCTCCATAATCGCGTGCTAATTAACATCCTTTTACTAACTGAATATTCTTCTAGATTACAGATCTCCATTTGTGACTTCAGTTAGTGATCAGCTTGGCATTGTATACATCACTAAGAATAAAACCGTGGTAGTGCCATGCCTTGGAACCATATCAAATCTCAATGTATCTCTACATGCGGTAAGGGAAGAGCCCACTACTATATTAAGAGTTACTTGAGATCACTGTGACATAAATACCGTACCTGAAATACAGATAAATTTCTTAAAAACTTCCTTCCATCTTTGGGAATTTTGCAGCCTGTGATTACAAGGTGAATGCTGTAAATGTACTGCTCATCCACGATCCTGCACTCTCAAAGTGTGGAGGGGTTGCCTGTGAAAGGGAGTTTGCCCGAGTTAGGATGTCAAAACTGGGACCATGTGGTTATGGAAAACGTTGGACTTGAAAATTCAGGGTTGTTTGATTTTTGAAATCTGACTATGTATTTTATCAATATTTCAAACAGAAATATCCAGAAAAGATATTTGTTCCTGATGGGAAGTCAATTTCGTGGAATAACAAGAAAGGCTTCACTATACCCAGTCATTTAATCAACTACGCGGGCATGGTCTTCTGTGAAACTAAAATAGATGATGAAAGCTACCAGTCTGTGATATACATAGTTGCAGTTGTAGGTAAGCCAAAGGTGTTTTTTTGTTTGTTTGTTTGTGTTTTTTTTTTTTTTTCTCAATGGCTGGTTTTATTTTGCTCACTACAACATACTGAACCAATTACATTTGGTTGGACTCTACGTTATTCAATACTGACAATGCAGCTAATGCAAAATAGATGTTGTGATATATATTACTTTTCTTTTAAATGCCATGTATTGTGCTCTTTCTGGTTCATCACTGGGATAAGTGCTTCTATTTTTAGTTTTTTACACAGATGCCAGGGATTTTTTTTCTTTTCCTGACAACACAAGTCTTTTTCCTAAAATCACTCTTTTCTGTACTTTATGCACTTATGCAGGATGCAACTCATAGTTGAAGAGAACTAGAGGCAGGCATCCATCAGCAGCAGATGGAAAGGAATTACTCTGAGGGGGTACCAAGGGAATGGGGAATGTGAAGTTCATGCTAGGAGCTAGGTTGTCTTGTCTCCTTCAGACCTATGTCCTTACTCTCACAGGGATTTATGCTCTTCTAGTTTGTTTTGTAGCTGTTTATCAAAACCTAGAAATAACACCATGATTTTGTGGAGGCTCAAGCCTGAGGTGAAACTGCAGCTATTTCTCCTTTGGCTGAGGACACAGTGGCCACTTCAAGTGGGCAGATGGCACCAAGGCAGTCTTCTTGTCTTGCTTGGCAGGAAGACATAGCAGCCCTCCGCCCTTTACTCTGCACAGCAGGCTCTTGCTTCTCCATCAAACTCATGAACCCTCACTCTGATTTGGACCAAATTCGGAATATCTGCAGAATTTCTGCATTCAGAATATTCCAGCTTGGAATGTTTTAAATATTTTATTGCTCAAAATATTTGATAATGTCAATATTTGGATAATATTGCCAATGTCAGACTGTTATTTTTAATAAAATTCTCACTTACTGCTGGGGAGGAGGATACATCTTCTTTAGTTTTAGGTCTCACAAGGATAAGAAGGTGTCCAAGGTAGAGGAACTGTGTGGATCACTGTCTCCTGCCTGCTCCCACTGCTGGGGGTCTCTGATCAAGTGTGTACATCCTGCTATGCCACTGTCTGATGGGACTCTCAGATGGGAAGTGCTCAGGGCACCCACATCCCTTCTCTCCATGCTCCTTTGTACACATCGTGTTGCACTGGGGCACCAGGGGCTTCAGTAGGAGGAGCAGCTCAGGTTTCAGTAGGAGTTCTGATGGATTTGCTTGGGAAATTTGGTGCTGAGTACTGTAAAGAAACCTCTTCTTACCACCATATTTTGGATGTGCCTTTTTCTTCCTCTAGGATACCGAATTTATGACCTGACAATGAACCCACACCAGCAAGTAGAGCTGGCAGTGGGAGAAAAACTTGTTCTCAATTGCACCGTAAGGACAGAACTGAATGTGGGAATTGATTTTAAATGGGACTACCCTTCCATCAAGGTAAATCCATAATACCTTAAAGCTGCCAACATCACAACAAAATTTGATTTAGGTATAATGTCACTCCCCCCTTTATGATGTTGACAAAGCAGATGATAATGCACAAAGAAATAGCGAGTATATACACGAGTGCACAGGGTGACGGGAGGGATAACAATAAAATTCCCAAACGCTTCTGTCTTTTATCAATTACAGGAAAAACGTGCCACAATAAGGGATTTAAAAACCACTGCAGGAGAAGTAAAGAAGTTTGTAAGCACTCTTACCATCGACAGCGTGTCCTTAAGTGACAAAGGTCGATACACTTGTGCAGCATCCAGCGGTCGTATGAACATGAAAAACAGCAGTTACTTCATTATCCATGGTATGACATCTTCCACTTAAGTTGTGTTGGTTGCTTCAGGTTTGGGACAGATTACTGGAATGTAGAAGGCATCTCAACAATAAGTCAAATGACAGAAATTAACCAAACTGCAGCAACACTACTTCGCTTACACTCACTATAGGATTATTTTTATACCACACACTTAGGTAATTGTAAGATTGTAAAGAATGGTGTATGTGACTGAAAGCTGCAAAATCCCAGAGGAAAATGAGCAGTAAAATAAACTGAGGCAAGCCTCTGGTCTTCTTCTGTTTTGACCTCCTTGAGGTCCTGTAAAGCTGAATTTGTGCAGATGACTTTGTATAAGGGCTGCCTGTTCTCGCTCCAAGTGAATTTAGACTAGGTTGTGGTGACTCTGTAGGACAAGAGTCAGGTTGATCATGAGTAAAGCTAGGAAAATAAAAATTTCATCTTTTATATTATGATTAGATGAATCAAATGGAGTTTTGGTTGTACGGACATCATGCAAAGGAAACAACTTTGGCTAAGTGCATAGATAAGTACGAGGCCACATCCTATAGCCTTCTCTCAAGCCCCTCTTGGGCACAGCCCCCATGGCTCCACTGGCTTACTGCTACAAATGAACTGCCAGCATGAGAATGGCCCATTTTTAGTCACTGAGTCACACAAAAGAATTTTTATTTTGAAGGAGACTGCTTTTCCTGAGGTCTGAATTCAGGGGTAAGAATATTAATGGCTTTTTTTTTTTTGACATTCAAACTTATTATATGGCACAGTGATTCAAGATAGACTTAATTTTCTCCTGTTTTTTTTTTTTTCTGTTTCTCTTGAGGAACCAAAACAAGCTCATGTGCTACAGTGAGTGTGCCAGATATTAAGTCTATACCATCCTAAATCTTAGTCAAAAAGCTAGTTGCTATCTTAGTCTGAATGCAAGTTTAAAACTTATGGCAAGTAATGTAAATAATTTCAGGGTATTCCATAACTACAGTGGTTCAAATATTTACTTGAGAAGAGGCTGAAAGTATCTAACTTTATCAAATTTTAGTTTTGAATGCTGTTATTTCCTGGAATGTGTAGATTGAGCCAATTTTATGATATGTGTGTGTGTGTATATGAATACATATATATAAATACATATATGTATGTATATACAGGTCTGATACTATATCTGACAGTTGTCACATCATCCTGAGAGCTGAGTCTTGTCTCTTCTTTCCAGAGCTCCTTGGTGGAGGAACTGGTCTGTTCCTCTGTGTGAGGGAGAGGACTGGGTTTTTATGGTGGGTCCATCTCTCCAGAGCCAAGTTTGGAGCCAGCTGTGCTTTACCAGTGTCATCTGGTCACTGGCCCCCTGTTTGTCATCTGCTGTTGAGTGCTAACCCAAATAAATGCTTTTGTCTATGTGGAAAGCGCATTTAGTTTAGATTTTTTTTTTTTTTTTTAGAAAGTCCTTTTATTCATCTGGAGAGAATGGAGAATGTGGTTGAGACAAGGCTAGGTGATACAGTCAAAATACCCATCAAGTTTAAGGGATATCCTCCACCAGAGGCAAAATGGTAAGAACAAGGACATAATGTGTTGGAAAAACTGAGCTATTCTGAGTCAAGGTAAATCTCCAAAGTATTCAAAGCACTCTATATTTTCTTCAGGTATAAAAATGGAAAAGCCATCGATGCAAATCATACAGTTAAACTGGGCTACACATTAGTGATCACTGAAGCAACAGAGAAGGATGCTGGGAATTACACTGTCGTCCTTACAAACCCTACTAACAAGATCCAAAAGAGACACATGTTTACTCTGCTTGTGAATGGTAAGTGGCATACCAAAGGGGTACCTTTCTTTCCTGTATGTATGTGGTGTATCACCATCCTTAGGATTAAATTCATCCCAGAGCTATGAAGATCTAAGTGGGGGTGGTGGCTGGGAGGAGAGCACTTGAACCTCAGCTTTAGGAGGGCAGAGGTGGCCCGTCTCTCCTGGCTCCAGGATGTGGTGGTCAAGAGGCTACGGGCTCCTGGTGGTGGTTTTGTGATGATACTGTATGTGTGGGCTTTTTTTTGGTTTGTTTTTCTGTATATTATTTCTTTGCCTCTGCATCCTGCTCTTTTCCTGCCCTCCTTACTGGTCATGCTGCTGGAGACCTCCCCCACCCCACTTCATCCTGGCCCTGTCCTGCCTCGCCCATCCTTCCTGCCCCACGCAGCCTGGCCCTCCTCTTCTTCCCTGCCCTGCGCGACCCTTCTCCTCGTCCTCCTCCTCTCTGCTCCCCAGGAAACAACTTAGCCTGAATGCTTTGAAGACAGCAGGTCTTGGATAGGGCAGCGAGGCTACCTGCAGTGGGATCAGGGCTGGGGAATAATATGCATTCAATGGTTGGGCGTGGTGGTGGGAGTCTGAGGCCTGCATTTTAAAGCAGGGGGTAATGACACAAAATTTTATAGGAGATCCTTGAGGACCTGATCCTCAAGATGTTGGGCAGGTTTACCTCTTCCCAACATGCCCTTGGAGATGCTCTGCATTGCATTTGGATGTGGGGCACGGCACACATTCGTTGCTGTGGGTCTAACACGTGCATGTGGTGGCACCTGGTGCCACTGGGGAGCCCGTAGCAAGAGGTGTAACCCGCTGCTCTCCTCCAGTGCCCCCCCAGATCGGCGAGAACGCACTGCTGGCCCCCGTGGACTCCTACAAGTACGGCTCGACGCAGGCGCTCACCTGCACTGTCTACGCTGTCCCACCGCCCACCGCCGTCCTCTGGCACTGGCAGCTGGAGGAGGAGTGCACCTTCAGCCCCCAGTGAGTGCGAAACCCGGGCCGCCCTCCGCGGCTTGCGTCGCTCGGGAAGGGTGTTGGACTTGCCTTTTTTTTTTTGGGTGGATTCCTTGTCCAGACAGGTTACTGAGGACAAACCCGATGACCAATGAGGAAAAGATTGTTGTGCTTAACCAGCAGATTGTTGCAGGCAGGCTCTGCTGGGGTCATTGCTGTCAGCAGGGGCAAGGGGCACTCCCCCACAGCGAGGAGACGGCAGCGCCTGCGTGTTGCCCTTGTGCTTTCGTGAAGCGCATCTTGGTTTGCGTGGGGTTTCAAACACAGCTCTCTGTGTACTCTCCCCTCAGAACTCCCCATGGGCTGCAGGCCCCAAACTCCATCCCAAACAGAGGAAATTTGCTGTTTATGCTAATTGCAGATCCTTGTGCTGTTTTTTCTCTTGCGCTCCAGTGCTGAGCGTGACGGTGCTCTTTATCTGTGTGAAAGTGTATCTTGGAGGAAGTGCACTGATTGATGTTGGGGAATGATAGAGAGAGTGCCTGACTGAGATTCACACAACTTCCCTTATCTGGGCCTGCCATAAGCCCAGATTTCCTTTAAAAAAAAAAAAAAGAAGCCAGGAAAAAAAAAAGCATTCTTCTTTCCTGTTGTTGTTTTTAAAATGATTTCCACTAGTTTCTTCCTTTGGTGCCTGGTTGCTTTCTACACAATGGCTACTGTCCTCAAGAAATTCTTGTGGAGAGTTTGGAGATTTCTATGTCTCTCTGTCTTCCTTTGAACTAAATTAACTTGAATCATCCATTTATGAATGGAGATTTGTTCCCAGAATAGCTGCTTCCCTCCAAGCATCCCAACTGAGCTGACACAGGCAGATTAATGACAAAATTCACCTTTAGGCTTGGGGGTTCCTTATTTTACAGAGCACAAAGGTCTCAGAAGGTTATAGGGTGCAATTTAATAGAAATGTTTCAAGGAATGGACTCTTAACTCCCAGATGCAGACTGTGGCTGGTGATGCATCTGATTTATGGATCAATAAATGCATGTTACAAAAAGACCACAAAACCGCTTTCTCAAGAAGGGTGAATATTCATCTGATCTAATGCATATGTCTCTACTTATATCTCAGGAAAGTTCGCTCAGGAGCCAATCCATATGCATGCAGGAAATGGAAAGTGATTTCAGAGAGAAAGGGTGGGAATCAGGTTGAAATTAAGCAGCGAGTTGCTACTATTGCTGGGAAAACAAAGGTGAGCAGATTTTTCTTTTCTGTTGATTTGGGTTGATTAGCAACCTGTTCATCAGTCATGTATCTGGAAATATATCACTAGAGATGAGGCTCTTTTCACCTTTCATTAAACTTGGGGTCTAGTCTCAGCTTGTTGTGCAAGCTCCTGCTGGAGCCAATAGGCACAGGCACACACTTTCAAGTCCTTCCGACACTGACCCAAAGTGAGTCTCCACTGAGGAACATAACTTAGATTTCAGTGCGTATCTTTTAACAGTTCAAAGTTAGGTGAGTTAATCTTGCCAATTAACTATAGTAAGGAGAAGCTGAAGAGACTGAAGAGCAGAAAATAGTTATGGATGCAACACTGATTAACATATACACCAAAGTCTGCCTCCTGACAGGCTGCTTTGTCTTGTTTTCTTTTGTCTGATTATTACACACTTAAGGAAAAAAAAAAAAATTAAACCTCAGGAGGGGACAGTGCTCCTGAAGTGCCATGGATTTGTGCTTTGGAGGGACTTTTGGTTGTGCTGAGCTGTTGGGGTAGTCAGGCTCATGATATGGTCTGATATTGCTTGATTTTCTTTTGCAGACTGTGAGCACCCTTGTGATTCAAGCAGCAAATGTATCTGCTTTGTATAGATGTATGGCTACGAACAGAGCTGGGTCAAGTGAGAGAGTTATCTCCTTTCATGTGACCAGTAAGTATACCCTGTTGAGCACAGCCATATTAAATCAATGTTATTTCATCTCTTTCACTGGTGGTAGGCACTTCAACACTGTTGTCTGATTCCTGGCCTTTATAAAAACCTTTAATCCCTTAGGATTTTAGGTTTACCTAAAATTTTCCTAAGGAAGCCTTTAAAGTCACCACCTAACTTCAGCCAAGTGATTAGTTCTGCTGGCATCAGTCGGAGCAGTGGTCCCTTGAAAATGACACAGATGGGCACTGTTGTCCCAAGAGAGATTGCTGTTGGGCTTTTGCATTCACTTAAAAGAACTACAGAGAAATTATGGTAGTGTCACAGAATGAGTAAAAATTACTGTAAAAGCTGGAACTAAGATTTTTGAAAATGGTGGCAAACAACCTCTGTCTTCTGGAAAATTAGTCCCCATATTCACATGCTGAAAAATTATTTAAATCCAAGTCTAAAAATTATCTGTAAGAAAATGCTAAGAATCTTCTTAGGTTGCTGTAAGCTTCTATGGGAAGAGGAGCTGTGTTCATGCCACAGCCCTCCCTTTGATCCGTTTTAAATGTATTACTTTTAATGAGTTCCTACTCCTTAGATGATTGATTGGCTGGGTTTTTTCAGGGCTTTTTTTCTGTTATTTACAACTGGGTGAGGATAAGGCTGTATTTGTAAAAAGGCTCCTCCAAGTTAGCGTTGTCAACAAAATGTGCAACGTAATAGGAATTTCTTTTACTTTTTAACTTGCAGGGGGTCTTGAAATTAATCTCCAGCCTCGGAATCAACTCACAGAGAAGGATAACATGTCCTTGCAATGCACAGCAGACAAATTAACCTTTGAGAAGCTGTCCTGGTACAAACTTAGTACTCACACTTCACAGGCTCCCTTTGGAGGGCTGCCCATGCCCGTTTGCAAGAACCTCAATGCTCTCCAGAAGCTGAATGCGACAGTTTCAAATACCAATGGTGAAAATGTCACCTTAGAGCTCATCCTCCGTAACATCTCCCTCCAGGATGGAGGGGACTACGTTTGCATTGCTCAGGACAAAAAGGCCAAAACACAGCACTGCCTGGTGAAGCATCTCACTGTTCAAGGTACAGATCTCTTACTGTGAACCAAAATGAATGACTGTGTATGAAAATAACCACAGTAGTGTTAGTTTTTGGTATCTTCAGGCCTTGTGTGTTTTGGCTTAGTGTTGCAGTCAGTTTGTTAAATACATTTAGATCATTTGTTGTACCATGCAGATCTGGGGCATGCTGGAGCAGCAGGGACTTACTATTTCGTCAGTACCAGTGAGGAAATGCTGACCAAGCCACTGTGCTGTGCAGGGAGATGAGTCTGGCTTTTGCACAAATAATGGCTTGTGTTTAGCTCAGTAACTTCTCAGTTTTACTTTTCAAAACATGTTTTTTCCCTCTAGCTGTATATGCAAGTGTGTATTCATATTGTTTGTGCTACTGCTTTGTGCCACTGACTCTTGAGTTTGAAGTAGTGGCTATAATTCAAAACTGTCATGGGGTGATGCTGTTACTCAGGTGCAAGCAATGCACGCTGATAATCGATCAGCTCTTCACAGAAATAGTGATGGCTTTGCTTTGGGAGCTAGATGTCTAGGCTGAGTAGGCAGATTCAGGAAAATACCTATGCATGTTCATGAGCTGTCCTGAATGGACAGTAATTTTGCTGTATTTTCAAACCAACAGAGCCCATGGCACCCACACTCATAGGGAATCTGGAAAATCAAACAACAAACATTGGTGAAACCATAGAAGTGTCATGCACAGCAAATGGCATTCCTCCTCCAAACATCATGTGGTTTAAAAATAATGAAACCCTTTTCGAAGATTCAGGTGAGGATTGCTCCTGCGCTATGAATTTTCTATCACTTAAGGGCTTTCTTCCATGGGACTCACTGCTGATTTTCACCAGGGAAAGTTTAATTTTAAATTTTTAACACAAAGCGGTGTAGAAGTAGCAGAACCAAGGATCACTGTTTTTTCCAGGTATCGTTTTGAAAGATGGAAACAAAACACTAACCATACGCCGAGTGAGGAAGGAAGATGGAGGGCTATACACCTGCCTTGCCTGCAATGTCCTCGGATGCAAAAAAGCAGTGGCTTTTTTTTCAGTGGAAGGTTAGTGTCAGCTTCTTTTGAGATTATGCATGAAATCTCTAAAATAATCAAAAGGAAAATCTACTGTCTATCCTGATGAGGGTTCTGAAAACACACCCTGAGATTTGCAGAAAGTCCTGACCATTTGTATCAAGCTCAAACTGGGCTGTCATAACCACTGCAATCCCAGCTGTTGAGGATGGTGCTTTCTTCTCCACAAGAAAAACTAAAACTAAACTGTTGTTTAGTGCTTTGTAAAAAGAGCTCCATCTATTTACTTGTGGTTGCAAAGAAAACTCTGCTGGTCTACATTATATGCAAACCTCTACAACAGAGCCTACCTGAACCTGCAGATATCCTGGGGCATCTCTGTTGTCTTGGCAACGTAATGGTTATACTGTATTTTTTAACAGTTTTAACTTTTTACACTATGTCATTGTCAGGGCACCTAAGAAAAGCGGAGTGAAGACTTTGTGCAGTCTATTGTGATTGCTGTCCCCTTTCAGTGATAGGAACGGGTAGTGGTTTTGGGTTAGGGGTCTCCAGCCTTAGTCCACCAAGGTCTGAAAGTAACGTTGTGACACCCATCTCTCACTTGTTCTAGTCCTATTGTGGCGCACCAAAATGCAATTTGCAATGATAAACAACAAAACCTAACAAGAGTCTGCAGTCTGAGTAGCTGGAACCATGATGGACTTTCCACTAAGAGCTGCAATGAGAAGCCTTGAACTTAAAGCTTCTTGACTACGTTTGCAAAATTCAATCATAAACCTTCACAAACCTCTGTCTTACACATCAGGGTAATTGTCTGATTGGTTCCATTATGGTCATTAAAGCAGTATCCTGTTATTCTTACAGGTCCCTTTAGGAAATTAAGATGTTGGGCAATATGTTTACATGGGATAGGAATTATCTGCAGCTGACATCAATGTAGATTTCAGCTGATGTGGTAAATATGACTGGGGCAGTCTGTAAAAGTTGAAAATCTGTATACACAGATAAGACATACAATATAGGACATAACTATCTCTCTCCAAGAGATTTCTAGTGCAGCTCATTGGGATCATGCGATGAAGTGTGTTGCTGTGAGCAAAATCTGCACGGTGCAAGGGGTGAAATAGAGGAGCATGATGGGCTGAATGGGAGCTGCAGAAGAGAGCTATTCCTGCACATCAGTAGATGTTCAAGTGGTATATACTGGAGACAATTTTACTGGAAAAGGGATGTTGTAAATAAGACCTTGTTTTTATGTGTTCTTCTAGAACCACATTTTTTCATGCCCCAGCTGAAGCTTGTAAAGAGACAAGAGAAAGATTGTTCTCTAGGTCCTTCTCACAGCTATATGATGGGATCTTTTTTCAGTTTCTGGAGAGTCATTTGTTTTGAGCATTCTAAAACAATGTTTTATTTTTAAAATGTGAGATTTTACTTTTTTTTAATATTTGCCAAAGTTGCAGATACTGTCCTTGGAAGAAAGCTGATGCTAAGAAATTGTGTGTAAGCACAATTGTGTTGTGGTGTGTAAACAGCGTGAAACTAGACATAATATTCTAACACAAAACCCCAAAGCTTTTTGTTTTGTTTTGCTTTCGTTTTCTTGCTCCGTGTTGCACTTTTAAAACGAACCTTCAGAACAAGGACCTCCATTCTCTGCGTTAATGAATGAACAAAACCAATACGCTTCCAGCTATCACTCAGATACTCATTTACTTCTTCCCAGGCGCTGAAGAGAAAACAAATCTGGAGCTCATTATCCTCGTTGGCACTGCAGTCATTGCCATGTTCTTCTGGTTGCTTCTTGTAATCATCCTCCGGACCGTTAAGCGGGTAATGAATAATTTCTCATACCGTCCTATCAGCCCTGGTCTTGCATGACAAATGAGAGCTGACTTGAGGCCTTTTGTGTTGTTTCTTGCCATTGTTCTTAAATCAACAGACACATTTTTTCACTCCATGCCATAACATTCTTGCCTGGAACTGGGGGCACTGAAATTTGTTTTTAATTGGACAGACCCTTGCAAGAAAAAAAAAAAAAAAAAGTGTTTCATCTGTTTGGTTTTTTTAATTAAAAAAAAGTGCAAGTAATTAACAGTGATGGCACTCACAATGACATGGTGCAGGGAAACGGTAGCCTGGCATTTCTGGGAACTAGTGAAACACTACATAGTGAGAAAATGGCACTTTGCCTGCACATCACCAGCAAAATATCTGTGCAACTACAACTAATACCATTTTCCAGGCCAGTGGAGGGGACATGAAGACTGGCTACTTGTCAATCATCATGGATCCTGATGAAGTCCCTATAGATGAGCACTGCGAACGGCTGCCGTATGATGCCAGCAAGTGGGAGTTTCCCAGAGACCGGCTAAAGCTAGGTGTGTCTTCACTGCACAGGCCACTCACTCAGCCCTGGCCTGGGGGGTCTTTCAGGTCCTGGCTTGCTGTGGGGCTGCCTTGATGCAGGACTCCCAGGTGGGCTCTGTGGTCCCATGGGATATAATGCATCCTGTCCCTACTATCAACCCTCTGTTAGTTCCTGGTACAGAAACTCAATTTAGAGTTGCTGTTTATTCTGCATCTGTTGCTCATCACCCCATGCAAATAAATCAGAGCATATTAATTTTCTCATTTCAAGGTAAACCTCTTGGTCGTGGAGCTTTTGGCCAGGTCATAGAAGCAGATGCATTTGGGATTGACAAAACTGCTACCTGCAAAACAGTGGCTGTCAAAATGCTTAAAGGTAAAAAAAGTGATGACTGAAACTTCTTCTTGAATACACAATATAGGGATAATTGCCAGTGCTATGACTAGTAGATAGAAAAAAAAATCAAAAAGTTTGTACCAATAGTGTAGACAAGTTTAGCTTAGCAGTTGGTGTCATGGAGCAGTGATTAGGAAAAGTACAAGCCCTTCCCTCATCGATAACTGGTGCAATGCAGCTGTGGTTTCTTAGCCATTGCTTTAAATACCTACTTGGGTTCAGAATATAAACTTGTTCCTGCAAGCAATTTGCACATGTCCATTTTTGCTCTATGCTGCCTGGTAGGAAGCTTTCTGCAAGTCTCAGACAGTGGCTTAGGCACACTCCAAAATGACTCATAGTTTTGAACAGCTTTCTCCTCACTTTAAATCATATTATAGTGCCTTGCATTTGCCACAGAAAATTTGGAAGCATTGTTGCTGACAAGGATGTAGCTGGGACAGCAAAATGGGGCTGCCAGCAGCTGGGGAGGCTGTAACCTACCCTGTGTTGTACTGGAGGAAGGGTGAGAAAGCTGAGGGGTTTCACTCATTATCATAATAATTAATAATCCACTCATTACAGTGGGATGAGTCTGCAGTAATGACAATAGAAGTTGGAAAGCTGTATTCCTCCAGTGTCCCAGTGCTCAGGCAGCCCACAGAGAGCTGCCTCCTCTGTGCCTTTTTCCCCACTGCTACAGCTCTTTCCTCTTCCCCTTCTATTCAGGCTGAGGACCCTAGCCATGTCTCCAGGCTTTTGATGAGGCTGCAGGGTCAGACCTGTTTGGTCCTGCCCCTAACTCCCCCAGCCTGTGGTCCCATTAAACCCTTAGTGTGGCCCCCAATGATAGCTACGGGACTCTTTCTAGCTTTTCTTCGCTGGGAGGGTCAAATGGCAGACTACAAACTGCTCAAAAGGTCTGTAGGTAAAAAGATGTTTGCTAATCTGGATTGGTTGTTACCCTGTTCTGATGTACTGCCCTTGGCAAACTTTGGAAAACTTTGGAGCAGCAGAGCAAAACTAACCCTGTCGTGCATGTGCCTAGCTTTCATCAGTGGAGCATAGCTGACCCAGGCTACCAACAAACAAAACTTCTCACTAGGTGGGCTGAAAAAATAGAAGAAGAGAGCACAGTGGAGGGTAAATCCTTTCTGTCTGCGATGCTCCTGATCTGTGCTGTTTTACCTCTGCAGAGGGTGCAACCCATAGTGAGCACAGAGCACTTATGTCAGAGCTGAAGATCCTCATTCATATTGGGCATCATCTCAATGTTGTCAATTTACTTGGAGCTTGCACAAAGCCAGGAGGTGAGTAACTTCTTAGTGGGAAGGTGCTAACGAAAGTCTTATTTCTGCCATTTCCACTGCATAGAAAATTGAGTTTCAAAGTCAAGGGTTGGAAAAATAGCCTTTAAAAAAAAAAAAAAATCTGATGAGTGAGTGAGTCCAAAGGTGGAATAAGGGCTCAGAAGCCTTGAGTTCTACATTCAGCTCCATCCCTTAATTGTTCTGTCACTTTGCTTTTCTGTACCTCAGATCCACTTTTATTGTGGATAACCCGCATGTAACAGCTTTTGGGTCTGAGTCTAGTACCAGATTTAACAAGCTGGTCTTGTTCTTGTCACTGCAACGGAGGGAAGTTGTGACTTCCCTCCCTGGCTTTGGATGGGCTGTGGGTGTCTCTATGTGAGTGCAAGAGGGCAGATTGCAATTTGGAGCCCAGCTTTGGGTGGATGGACTGGTTTTGCTTTATAATTGGGGGCAGATGTTTTCTGTAACAAACCCAGCACTGTACACTAATTTGGAAGAAATTCAGTGTAAAGTAACTCAGTAATAATTTTTCAGGGAAGCTGACTTTTTGGCTTACTGTGGGATCAGAATTTAATTTGTAAAGTTCCATGGCAGAAGTGCGGTAGTTGAGGGAAACATAATCCATAAATATTTCTTTCCTTGTTTATTCCATAATAAAACAGAGATGCCTGGTCTCTGAAACCTAGGATGGAAATTTTTCATTGTGGCATGTGCCTCCATAAAGCAATTTGAGTATGAAATACCATGTTTGAACTGTACATTAAAGGCTCTATGTCTGAAACCACGATTTTTGTTATACGTTTTTAGGACTTAAACTGCGTGCACAAAAATGCGTGGATAATAATATGTGTGCTCTATTGCAGATGAGTGGTTAATCACATTGAAGTTCACTCAAATATGTATGTTGCATCCTTACAATGTCAATTAGCATAGGCAGTTATTTGGACTCTAAGTATAAGCACACCACTATACATTTTCACATATGAAATTAGGCTTCAAAAGTATGTGCTTTCTTTTCCATTCTTTTACAGCAGAAAAGGGATAATTTCTGCTTTGATTGGATTTTTAAAAATTATTGTTACTCGTATTTTTAAAAACCTTTAGGTAGTAGAATGCTTTTGGAAATGTATGCATTTCTTGCCACAGATTATGCTGTGAGATAAGGAGGGATCTAAATGGTCTCTCTAAGGAACTGCTTTATGTGTTTTACAGGCCCACTCATGGTGATTGTGGAATATTGCAAGTTCGGAAACCTGTCAGCTTACCTACGGAGCAAGAGGAGTGAATTTGTCCACTACAAGGTAAAGAGTCAAGGTTAACAGTAGAATGTTTGATTTGGTGGTTTTTTTCCACACACAAAGTTGCTGTTTCTAGTGCAGATTGAAATGGCAGTCCTTGGGGACGCTGAGTATCTCTCACTTCTCATGGGAATGAGAGATGGCAAAGACATCAGAGGTCATCTAGTCCTTCCCCTGGCCCCTGCATTGTAGCTATTTTGTTATTGTTAGCTTAAAATGTGCAAAGGAACTGGGCTTCCACTATTTCCCTTGGCAGATTGTTCTACACTTGGCTGTATCTGTCAGGAAGTTTTTTCCGATTATCAGCCTGAATTTTTTCCTTTCTTAGTTAAGGTCCAGACCACCTTAAATTACTGCTCTCCCTGCTTAGTGTATATACCCATCAGGTATCCGTAGGTATCTTCTATCACCTGATTATCCTTTTCACTATTCCCTTGGCTCTTTGCTGAACCAGGATATACATTTGTTTACTGTTAATAATTCTATATAATTGATGTATCTGAGTTTATGTTCAGCTTTTCACCTCCCAAGTCCTTTGCAAAGGGGAGCTCCATCGCATCACCCCCTCTTTGCACTCGAGTTGGAATGGAGGAGGAGGACTTTTTCAAACTAATTTCTGGACATCTCTGAGAGGGGTTCTGATTTCTGGAGAGGATTAGGAGGTTCCATCCTCTCTGAGGCTCAGATTGCTGGAAGAAGAGCATGGTTGTGTGTACCCAGAGCTGAGCATCATTCTTGGGACCCTACCTTTTTTCACCCAACAGCCAAGAGGGGGGTTTCTGGGCTGTGTTCTGCCACACTGGTCAGTGTGGGTCTTCCTGCAGCTGCCATGTTTAGATCAGAGCTTCTTCTAATTGCTTGTCAGTTCTCCAGGGGCTTGTTTTTCTTTATCCTCGGAGTCGTTGTTTACTATTTTGTATTGGCAAAGGCAACTCACTGCATCCTCTTGTGAGGTAAAAAGGATAAACAAATATCTGAGAGGCCTTGAAGGAAGAGGCAGGGTTTCACGAAGGTGCTGACCCTTGCTTACACAAGCAGTGGGGATGGGAATTGGCCATGGAAAAGGCCAGCCCTGCTGGGGGAGGAAAGTCACCAAACTGAAGCAGGAGAAAATGGAAATGTGGTGGAGGAAGCCTGCAGGGCTGGCATTCTCCCAGGAGGTACTCAGTGGCTTAGGGGAAGAGGAAAATCGGATTTTGAGGGCTGCTAGGGTTTTGGCCAAGGTTTTGCAGAAGGGCCTTTGCAGCTGTGGGAGGTAAAGCTGTAGGAGTGTGGAGAAGCTTGAATGTATGAGAGGGGGTTCTGCAGCATCCACACATGATTCATAAGTGGTGGGCACCAGGAAACTGAGAAGGCCAGCTCCTCAGTGTGCTTTATTCCCCAGCATGTGGAGATGTTCCTGGGGGGTGGCCAGGAGGGCGCAGGAGCAGGCTAAAAATGTGCTGTGGAGTGTCAGAGGGTGCTCAAGCTCAACCTCAGGAGGGTTGGGGTTTGCCAGTGCTGTCACCATGCCAGCCTTGTGCCCCAGCTGGAGCTGGCATGGAGCAGAGCGCCGGGTCATGCTAGCACTGGGCTGCCCTCCCTGCCTTCAGTGGGGCCCCTGGCATAGACCATGGGGGGCAACATTGCCTCTCCCAAGGAAGCTTCTGGCATGCTTTCTGCTTCTGATTTCTCCCACTCTCCCCTTGCATTTCTAGACCAAAAGTGCCAGGTTTCGGCAGGGGAAGGAGAACTATGTTGGTGACGTCTCCGCAGACCTGAAGCGGCGGCTGGACAGCATCACCAGCAGCCAGAGCTCAGCAAGCTCTGGCTTTGTGGAGGAGCGGTCCCTCTGCGATGTGGAAGAGGAGGATGGTAGGATATGTCTTCTCTTGGTGCTGTCATTGCTGGGGCCTGGTGAGGAACACTGGGGAATCTGTGATTTCCAAAGCTCCCTCAAAACTGTGTGGGGTGTTTCGTGGATGATAAAAATTCCTGAGCTATGGCTTATCTAGTTCAGCACCCCAAACCCTTCAGCCCAATCCCAGGTAATGTCCTGTCTGAAAAGGGTGCATTTTTATTGGACTGCCTTTTGGAGATCTCCAAACTGGAGAAACATGGGTT